CTCCTCCTCCTCCTCCTCCTCCTCCTCCTCCTCCTCCTCCTCCTCCTCCTCCTCCTCCTCCTCAAACCCCATTTCCTTCTAGCACTGATAATGTTACTTAGTTGGAGCATGAAATGTCTGCAAGTAAACCACCAAGCTCATAGAGCACCAAGGACTCCGAGGAAGAAGCCAGGATCCAGAGAAACCTCTCCTAAACCCAGCTCCATTCTCACGACATATTTTGGAGCGATTCTTTGTGCTAATCCACTCCTTCCACTTCAGTCAACTTATTATTCATACATGACCCGGAGCGAACCCAGGAATATCGTCCCTCCCAAATTCATTGTCTCTACAATTCTGACCCGTTCCCCCCAAATAAAATTCAGGAGAAGCTAGCCACAAATAATCATATATTATTCATGTTTCTCCCCGCCGACCCTTCCGAAGGCTGTTGCAATTTGCCTTGGAAATAAGGCACTGTGTGCTGCTGTCAGCAGGAAGGCGCCAAGATTATATTCTATTTAATTTTTGTTTCCTGGATGGTTAGAGCCACCCAATTCAAAATAAAGTGACTCTGGGTTGCATTTAACGGAAGCAAACAATAAATCAAATCAAATCATGTTAAAAGGCGAACAGCCTAATGTAAAAAAAAATAAAAATTGCACCAGTCTTATGCGCTCTCTAAATAAATGAATTTATTAGACTTGCATAATCCATTTTGACACGCCTGCCAGCCTGTTTTCAGCTAGTATTTGTCCCCAGTTGGTGTTTAAGTGGGAGGAGGATGACAGGCTGAAAGTCAAGGACACAGAGCCCTTGTCAGTTCCTTTTTACAGGTAGTCCTCAACTTACAACCATAGTTCATTTAGGGACTGTTCGGAGTTACAACAGCACCGAAAAACATGACTTATGACCTGTTTTTCAAGCTTACTATCAAGATTCCGGCCATTTAAATCATGAGTCTCTAGCCAAACTTCAAAAGGATTTATTGGGAGTTAACATGCCGGCACTGCCTGGATGCAGCCGACTTTGAGACACATCATTCATTGTCACCCTTGACCCTGGTTTTCCCCTCCACCCCCTGAGTGTATTGTAATTCATATTCTCCAATGGGACACATCCATAGCCCAAAGTCCTCAATCAGGCTCTCCAGTTAGTTATTTGCAGGGCAGAAACTTCAGTCTCCTAGTTACTATCTTTGAAAACATTTATGGAATGCGCTTTCGGTTCGCAAGCTGCCGCACTGCTCCTCCCTCCCTTTCTGTTGGCGACTCTGAAAAGACCAGAGAAATATTTTAGGAGTTGACACAATCTGATAAAAATTCAGAGATTTGGCATCCGGTTCACATTTAACATCCATTGCTGTGTCCCAAGGTCAACGACGCTCTGAAAGAATGCAAACGACCAGCTGTCTGTGGTCCTGGACTTACGATCGCAATCGGGAACAGAATTTTCACTGCTAAGCGAGGTGTCCCAAAGGTGTTTTTTTCAAGAGGCATAACTGGACTTTCTGGTTTTTCTTTGAAGGCATTTCACTTCTCATCCAAGAAGCTTCTTCTGCTCCGACTGGATGGTGGGGAAGGGAAGGATTTTTATTCCTTGCAGGCAGCTGGTCATTTGCATCCATTTTAGAGGGTCGTTGAGGCCACTTGGAGGTTTAATGCAAACATGTGTGGAGCCTTCATGGAACTGCAAAGAGGACTGTGATGTAGACGGGAGATAGGTGATGTCGTATCCCTCCCACTCTGTTGACAGAGGGCTGTTCAATTTGGACCTAGATGACCTCTTTGACCCCTCTCCTCAAACCAGCGGTCCTCCCTTTCCAAAATGTAGACTTTGTTGTCTTCTAAAGAGCAGCCTTCATCTTTTAAATGCAGGTGGATGGCTGAATCTAGTCCTGGCGGGTTTGTTCTCCTGTGTTATGTCCTGCCTTTATGAACAAAACAACCACCTCATAAACTCAGGTGGCCCCGAGGACACAGATAAACCTCCAGGTGGCCTCAACGACCCTCTAAAAGGGTGCAAATGACCAGATGTCTGCAAGGAGTATCAATCCTTCCTTTCCCCACCGTTCAGTCAGAGCCGAAGAAGCTTCTTGGAGGAGAAGCGAAAAGTCTTCAAAAGAAAGAACAAGGAAGTCCAGTTACCTCCAGAAAAAAAAAGCTCCTTTGGTGCAGCCATAAATACAGGCCAGTTCCTGGTTTCTCAAAGTTGGATCCAGTGACAATGGGGATTCTGTGACAGTCGTAAGGGCGAGGACGGGTCGTATATCACATTTTTTCCAGCATGGTTGTAACTTTAAATCTTCACTAAATGAATAGTTGTAAGTTGAGATCTCTCTGTACTGCAAACCATCACAACTCTTAACACAGGTCTTTCTCACACTTGTGAGAGCTGCTCAGTTTGTGCTAGGTAAATCTGTCCACACCTGTGCATTGTGCTGCACAAGTAGTCCTTGACATACAATCACAATTGAGTCCAATATTTCTGTCACTAAGCAAAGCAGCTGTCCAATAAGCATTGTGTCTCCCTTTACGGCCTTTTGGCCGCAGTTACTAAGCAAAATCACTGCGGTCGTTCAGCGAGTCATGGTGTCGTTAAGCAAATCTGGCTCGCCCCCCCCCCCCCACTACTTCTCAGAAATCCCCGGGAAGGTTAATCACCCTGGGACTGGGCAACTGTCGTAAGTACATGCCAGTTGCCAATCCTCTGAATTTTGATCACATGATGGTGGGGATGGATGAGGGTCGCATGTGTGAAAACGGTCATAAGTCACTTTTTTTTCAGTAATGTCGTAAATTGGAATGTTCACTAAGCATTAAATGGTTGTAAGTCAAAAACTACCTGTAGCAACGAAGAAGCCTTTTGCTTCTGATTATCTCTAACTTTGTAGTTGTTCTGACCAAGACAGTGACAATCACACGCTGTTCCCAAAAACCTTTGTTTTTATTTGCAACGGCTGTGAATTATAGGCATTCACAGCCGGTAATGAGTCCCAAACAGCTAGTGAATAGTCCAACAGAAGTTCTGCCACAATCCTTCGGGATAAGGCTGATAAGCACCCACCTTTATCTCCCTTGAAATGCTGCCAACGACTAAATTGCCCATTAGCTGTACAAGGCCAAACGGAGCACAATGTTCAGAGTTTAAACCGACCAGAACGAACAAAGTTGCTTCCTGCAAAGGCTCCTGTCCCTTTGCTCCTCCTTTATGTCTCATAGGAGGGGCCAATCACCTCCAAGCCTTACTCCCGAGTCGCCCCTTTTGTCTTAACTGTTCTTGCCTTCTGGCAGCTCTGTGCAAGCACGCACTGGGAACAGGCTCCCGCTGCTCCTCTGCCTCGCTGCTGTCAGATTCGGGAGGCTCCGGAGACGGCACATAACTCCCAGATGGCCCTGGTCCCATCTCTGTGTCGGACGTAGATCCCTCATCTGAGCCCTCCCCAAACTCCAGGACTGGCCCATGTTCCTCCCCACAGTCTGACTCAGCTGCCAGCCCCGCAGGCCATCAGTGGACCACAACAGTAGTATGAGAAAGCATTTTGTTTCTTCTTTGTAGTACATTTAATTTTTTATATTTATTTTATTTATTTATTATTAGGCTTTTTTTTTTTGCCTACCTTTGCCTAATCTGAAACTTAAGGCACCGTTTTCTCACCCCCCTTTTATTCTGAATTTGAGCTTTCCAGGTATCTATGACAGTCAGCATAATGTTCCTTATTTATTTATTCATTTATTCCAGGCTGGTCGTTCCGAATAAAGGCTACTCTTCATTAGATCAGAGTCCCGATGAAAAACCATTGGTGGCGCTGGACACAGACAGGTAGATATGGACTCATAAAACTCACCTGTGTAATTATATTGTTTAGAAGGTATCAAAATAAGAGCCGGAAGCGTCCTTGGAGGTCATCTAGCTGACCCCCCCACCGATCGAGCTGGAAACCCTACATAGCGTTTCAGACAAACGGTTGTCCAATCTCTTCTTTAAAACTCCCAGTGTTCGAGGCTTCATAACTTCTGGAGGCAACTTCTGTTCCACTGGTTAACTGTCCTCGCTGATAGGAAGTTTCTAGGTTGCTTCTCTCCTTGATTAGTTTCCGTCCGTTGCTTCTCGTCCTGCCTTCAGGGGTTTTGGAGAAGAGGTTGAAGAAGAAGAGTCCAACGCCTGTCTCAGTCAAACGAAGAGTTGGAAGGGACCTTGGAGGTCTTCTAGTCCAACCCCGGGCTTATGCAGGAGACCCTATACTATTTCAGACAAATGGTTATTCAGTGCCCGGTCTTGTTTTGAAACATTCCAGTGACGGAGCACTCACAGTTAATTAATTAATTATTAATTCTTTATTGGCCAAGTTTGATGAGACACCCCAGGAATTTGTCTTGGTGCAAAAGCTCTCAGTGCACATAAAAGAAAAGATACTTGAGTCAAGGGTCATCAGGTACAACACTTAATAATAGTCATAGGGCACAATAAGATTGGAATGGAATGGAATGGAATAGAATAGAATAGAATAGAATAGAATTGAATTGAATTGAATTGAATTGAATTGAATTCTTTATTGGCCAAGTGTGATTGGACACACAAAGAATTTGTCTTGGTGCAAATACTCTCAGTATACATAAAAGAAAAGAGACATTTGTCAAGAGTCAAGAATTATCAGGTACAACACTTAATGATAGTCATAGGGTACAATAGAATTAGAATAGAATGGAATAGAATAGAATAGAGGAATGAAAAATAGAAATAGAATTAGAATAGAATAGAACAGAACAGAACAAAACAGAACAGAACAGAATAGAATAGAATGGAATTCTTTATTGGCCAAGTGTGATTGGATGCACAAGGAATTTGTCTTGGTGCAAATACTCTCGGTGTACATAAAAGAAAAGATATGTTCGTCAAGAGTCAAGAATCATCAGGTACAACACTTAATGATAGTCATCGGGTACAATAAGCCATCAAATCATACTAGGAAACAGTCAATATAAATCGTAGCGATACAAGTGACAAAGCTGCAATCATACAGTCACAAGTGGAAGGAGATGGGTGATAAAGAGGGATGAGAAGGTTAACAGTGATAGTAGTGCAGAGTTTGTAATAGTTGAGGGAATTGTTTGTTTAGCAGAGTGATGGCATTCAGGGAAAAACTCTCCTCGTGTCTAGTTGTTCTGGTGTGCAGGGCTCTATAACGTCGTCTTGAGGGAAGGAGTTGAAACAGTTTATGTCCGGGATGTGAGGGGTTTTGTTTGTTTTTTTAAACTTCTGATTTCTGGCTGTATGGTGAAATGTGATTGCCTTGCAAGGAGTTTTCTGGGCATCTATTCCTGGAGAACCTCAAGTTTCTCCAGCTTTTGAATTGACCACTTGACAGCTAGCAAGGCTGAAAGTGAATGTTTGTAAGTTATAAAGATTCGTTTTGTTGAAGGCGTTCCATTTGTCGCTTTCATTTTTTTCACAGTTCTCCCACCTCAAAGTGAGTATTCCCCTAATACATAACACCACCACTGTTCCGCACAATCTGTCTCCAATTTGGTGCCCTCCAGATGTAGCTGGACTGCTTTGTTGGGAAATTTTGTGAGCCATTTGGCGGTGACAGCGTGTTTAACTATTTTGAGACAATTGAGGAGCACAATACAGCAACACAGGCGTTGTCATTTAACAGTGGCTTATATACAAGACTGCTATATACTTACACATACGTGTTAGGCGCATACCAGGCAAACAAGCAATCTTCATTCCTCTGCACAGAGAACTGCAATGGAGATAGAACAGGAGGAGAGAGGGATACGCCCTCTCGTGGCCGCCCTATATATAGACCGCTTCTTAAAGCGGCAATAGCCCTGTGGACCCATCCTCGGTCTTAAAGCGGCAATAACTTTGCTGACTCATCCTCATCGTATCGGCATTTACAGCAGCCTTACAACAGCTGGTCAGCTGTTAAATCAATACCCTGATGGGTGGCATTATGAATATACTCACTGCTACAAGTCACAAGCTCTGGTGTTATTTAAGGTGGCTGAGAAGATTGCTTCTCTCCTTTGATTAGCTTCCATCCATTGCTTCTTCTCCTGCCTTCTGGGGTCA